ATATATATATATATATATATATATAGCAGTTGCTTAATCTGTGAACATAAGTGGATATGCCAAAAAGTATTTGAAAATTACATTTGGCTAACATTATTTTTTTTAAGTGCTTGTGTAGCCCTGTGTTCTCTGGCCCCATTGGTAAAGAGCCATTTTACCCACAAACAAATCTGCCACTGGACTAGGTGATAGTTAGTGTGCAACAATCTTTACAAGTGACAAGAAACAAAACTTTAAAAATTTAAAATTTAAAATTTTTTTCAGATTTTATTGCAAAAAATGAATTATCAGGATGTTTTACCTTCATTATTTCTGGTGCTTAGCTTTGCTTTTAACCTTTATAACCTTAACCTTTTTTGAGCCGCAAAATTGTTTTGCTTTCCGTCTGATTTGGGGGATTTATTCACACTTTCAGTCTCTTGACTGTGAAGGACGTTGGTCCAAACCAGAATCATGTTCTTGATTTTCCTCCTCAGCTTCCCATGTCCCAGAGCCACTACAAGGGGACTGAATCCCACAAAGAGCGATGCAGAGAAGTGAGCCACAGTTAGCAGCCCCTCAGCATGATGTCCCCCGTCATGGTTGTAGTATGTCACCGCGGCAACCTGCAGAACCCAGCACACCACAAAGAGGGACACCAGAGACATGATTACATGAGCGGCCTTGCGTTCAGTGGACACATGTTTGTCCAGCTCCCCGTGGCTTCCTGACTCAGAGCCTGAGGTTATAGCTCGAATGTGCTTGGCTAGAGAGTGAAGAGTTGCCAAGTTGGTGCAAACCATCAGAACCAGTGGCAACACCTCATTGAGGGCAAGGGAAGTAGACGCAAAGGCAGAGCCTTGTTGCTCAGAAGGGAACTCCCAAACACAGCCTAGAAGAGGTCTTGTAGTGCAGCTTATCACCATGAGCTCCACGGTGGCGTTGCTATGAACATGAGTAGTGAACAACAGTGCAGGGACAGAGAAGGCTAGGTTAGCCCCCCACACGAGTCCGAGTACCACCCAAACCCTCCGCCTCTCCCTCTGTAGCGTTAGAGGTCCAATGTTCACATGGTGACGCCTCAGGGTGGTGCAGTGGAAGATGCTGAGCGTCAGAGTCACCCAACAGCCCACGGCTCGCCACCACACCCAGAGCAACATGAAGACCCTGCACCACCCCGGAGACAGGGACACGTCCAAACCCAGATCCGATACGAATATGGGAACGGTGCGGAAAAGAGAGGTAAGAAGGTTGGCCAGAGACAGGTGCACTAAGATGGTATCGGAGGGAGGGAGTCTCCGAGATGGACTCTCCAAAGCAGATTGAAACACCTGATAGAAGAAATGAAAGATGCTGATGTCAATCACATAAAAAAGTCCCACTTAAACATAAAAATATTAAATACTTGTTCTCCTACCACATGGATGACCAAGATGTTTCCCAAGATGCCAGAAAACACCAAGAGTCCAAACAAAATCGCATCTACAGTGAGAATCTCTGACATGGCATCATCCTCTGCAGGGAGACATAGATAAGCTTTCCTTTATGGCAGGCATGGATCAGGACGGATACTTTGAGGCTATGCACACAGTTCAGCTGCCTCTGCTGACTGTCAGGGTGTTTTATATATGTTCATAGACACAAATGATTAAATTCAACGCACATGACCGGATCTCTGCTGACCGTGCTTCTGGTCGATTTAATTCAATACATCAGCATTTTCCATGTTTTCATCCTGTATTACAAACCAGCTGGACCTGCAGAATCACAGCTTAAATCACCAGGTTTGTCCCATTTCTTCACATTAAGTGCATCTGTACAGTAATATTTCAATTATTTCAGTGTAAAAAGTTTGGATACTATGATTGAATGGCCACACAATAAATAATTAGTACCAAGAGAGAGATTGAAGGCTTGATTAAAGTAAACACAAAACAAAACTCTCAATAGATAGATGGATAGATATACATATATATAGTTTGTTTTCTGTTTACTTTAATCAAGCCATCATTGTCTCCCTTGGTACTAATTATTTACTGGGTGTCCAGTGGGACAGGGAAGTGATTTCATGGAACAACTTAACTAAGCACTAAGCATTAAAGAGCTGTGAAGCAGTAAGCCACACCTTGAATATTTCATTTGTGTTGATTACTAATGAACAGCAAAGGTGTACTCAATTTGAAACGCCATTATGTCACAAAAAAATGATGTTGTTATAACAAATTTTATACTTTTATTCTTCCTTTAAGTTTGTGTCTTATAACGAGCCATTTAAGGGGTACAGCAACCATGTGGAAGTGGATCTTTTTAAGGTTCTTGCACAGCTAATACTGCGCATCACCAACCCCAAGGTGAAACATGGTTGTGGCAGCATGATGCTCAGAGAAGCTTTTCTTCAACACTCACAAAGAAGCTACTCAGAAATGATGGTAAGATGGATGCAGATAAATACAGGTCAACACTGGAAAAAATAATGTTGGAGGCTGAAGAATATTTTAAACTGAGTCAGAGGTTCAGCAGCAGCACATAAAACTAAAAGTCCAGACCTAAATAAAATGGAGAACCTGTAGCTTGACGCTAAATTAATGTCTAAAGGTGCTTAATGTTATGTAAGAATGAGCAGAATCATCACTTTCTAGCAATGTAAAGCTGAGACATGTTGATAAGACATGCAGTTTCTTTTTGTAGTTAAAAAAAATGGTTCAGCAAGGTTTTAGAGATTCCTACTCAAGCATTCCCCATAACAATATGTAAAAACTTTATTTATCTATTTATTACAGGGACAGTGCCAATTAAACATTTATGTATAAATGCTAGATTTAACTGTTTTTCACCTGCAGTCCATATAGACAGATGGTAAAAGTCACACTAAAAGAATGGAAGTAAAATTACATATTTACAACACATCATAATAATCAATTGCTTTTAAGCTCAAATGAGCACTAAAAAAAAAAAACTACAAAAGTCCAACAGGTATAATAAAAAATATATCAGACATGGTAACCATCCCAGTGTAAGGATTTGGTTATGGTTAGTTGACCAAAAAGCAGAGGCAGGGAGGCAGAGGTGAATTTCTTGTGGATTTAATGATTAGTTAACTAAGAGCAGAGGCAGGTAATCCAAAAATCAAAATATGAAAACAAAGTCCAAAAACAAACAGGAAACCAGGAATCCAAAAGTGAAAACAAAGTCCAAACTAACAGGAAACCAGAAGTCCAGAAATCAAAACAAGAAAACAAGTCAAGACGAACCAGAAGCCATGGAGACATCAGAGGGATCGCTATCACAAGGAGGAAGGCTCAGAGAGACGAGTGGGAGGAAGTTTGACGAGGATCCAGCCAAGAAGAACAGAACAGAGAGAGTATTTATAGGACACTGAAACAAAGAGAGGGCTAATGAGCAGATTGGGAGCAGGTGTGCACAGAGCAGGAGAGGAAAAGAGCAAGGGAAAAAGGAGAACACAAGAGGGCAGCAGAGTGCAAAAAATAAAAAAGCTAGAACCCTGAAAATAACCAGGAAACACAACAAAATAAGAATTAAACTACTAAGACTATTAAACAAGGAGTAAAGCAAAACTGAACACTCAAAAGAAAACATAACATAACCAAGACTAAGACAGTAATTGAGAAAAAAACATAATAACTAAGAATTAAGCCATAAAAAACTAGAAAACAAGGAGCAAAGCAAAACTTAACATCCAAATGAAAAACATAACAGAACCAGAACTCTAACACCCAGTTTGGTTGAATCACTCTTGCCTGCAGCTGAACACATTCAAAACAAAAGCAATGCTTTTCAGTAAATCAGTTACAAATGTTAAAATGTTTGAAAACCTTGTAGGCTATGGTTGAATATTTAGTACATAGAATATGATATCAGAGACTTTGAATCCAACCTTGTGACTAATGAAGCCTCATAAATGAACCAGTTTTACTATTTTGGTACTTCTTGCTGGTGAAAGTCCTCAGTTTAACCTTTTTTTTCCATCAGGTGGTTAAATACATTTTTATACATTTTTTTTCATTGATCATTCTCTCATCTAATTCATTACCCAATATAACCCAATATGATAATACTGTTTCCATTGTATATTGCTGCAACACAGTGCAAAACCGATCCAGAAATAAGTAAATACATTTAAATTAAGTGTATTTACCCTTCATTTGAGCAGGTAAATAAGATGATTTCAAATGGAATCAGTGTTTTTACTCTCAAATTAAGATAAGTGCAATTATTTTAAGAAAAAAATTACTTATTCAGATTTAATTTTTTACAATGTACGTGACTCATCTGCCTTCACACACACTGTTGTCATGAATAAAAAAGACAAAATACATTTAAAGCCTCATCTCAAAAATTGTAGGCCTATAAATACAATTGAAATGATAAATCAAGGTGGCGCTCCTCTCTCCTAATTAATCTTTGGAAATGTTGTTTATGGTCGCACTGTAAAATAATATTAGAGTCATTTTGGTTTATTTTGTTTGTTATGAATCAAGGGCGTAGGTTTGATCTCAACCTTGGTACGGACACTATTGGTCTTAATTGAATTGGTCTGATGTCATTGGTCTTACAAATTATGCCTGCTCCTATTTTTTTATGCTTGACATGAGCATCAGGGCACATTTTGTTTAAAGAGAAAACAGGATTTTTTACTACATTTATACAAATTTTATAAGCACTACACACAAGATGCTTTTTACCAATGTTTGAAGCGTCAGTGGCTCAGAATAATGTAAAATTGGGACAACTTAACACTTTGAAAAGGGTTACATTTGAACTTACCAGTGAAGGTAAATACGTGCCTTTTTAACCAAATATAGTCTAAATATGTCTGTTTTATGTGTATTTATCTGATGTTTTCTTTTGAAGAAATAGAATTGTGCAGATATAAACAGAGCAGATGTAAACGCTTATTATTTTTATCTGATATGCTGATATTCTCTGCATTGTAAAACAAAGCAAAATAACATATTCAAGGGACTGCAAGTAGATTTATTGTATTTAGATGAGTGCAGGAACTATAAGAGGAACTGACATTGAGCATTTTAAATATTAACTTCAATATACAAGTAGTGAGAAAAGAAGCGACTGCTGCAACCACACTGTATTGTAAACTATAAACATGTTATTCAAACAGAATTATTGGTAGGGACAAGTAGGTCGGTGCCAAAATGTTGGTAGGGACATGTCCCTATGGTCCCTTTGCAAACCTACGCCCATGTTTTGAATGAAGATAAAGATTCCCTGCTTTTTGCTTTTCGTGAAAATAAAAAAACAAGCTCGCTGTCATTTTAGAACCACTCCAAAAGCCTCTCATCCAGCTGTGCTCTCCTCTCTTCTGGCCCACAGTTTTCCACACCTGAAGCACTGAGTGGGACGATGACTCACCATCCAACTGGCTCCAAATATTTCGCGCACGCGCCCACGCTCCCCAGCACGCTGCTGTGCGCGCTTCTTCACGCGCACTCTCTCAAACAGCGCGCATCAAAGCCACTTACGCCAAGCCAGACAGGAAGAAAAGAAGAAGCTGCTCTGTCCTGCAGGAATATGTAAGTGTTTTCAAATTCTTCTGGCTTTGTCGCTTTAAATGCAATACATAAGAATAATATTTTGTGTTTTAGATGAGAGGACGAAGATGAGCTGATCTCTATGGCAGACATCAGACCTAATGGTTGTACCATCGCCCATCCAGGCGACCCACTGTGAGTGAAAATAATTAAACGAGAGGACGGGAGATGACAAAGCAGCTTGGAGCGTCGCTGCTCGCCCTGTCGGCGCTTCTTCTATTCCCGTTAATTCAACAAACAGCATCCTCATCATCATCATCATCATCATCACCAGCTGCAGCGACATCAGAGGCGAGAGGCAACCGGAGTCATGACAGCAGGCCATCGGCTCACATTAGAGACATGAGAAGCAGACGCCACAATGCCTCCATCATTCCTGAGAAGCTGGGGGGTCTGCTGAGGCACAAACCAGAGGAGGGGGTGTCACCGATGTGTGCCTACAGGGTGATAGAGGGAGGCATTTTTGGGCAGCTATGTTTTCGACGCACGCTTTTTGGGTACATGTGCAATAAGGAGGACTGCAGGACGCGAGTGGCTTTGGGAAGCCTGGTGGCAAACCTCCTCATCAACGGCAGCGTACTGTTACAGTGGACCCATAAGGCAGGCAATAACACCAAAGAGAGACTTTCCGAACACTCCCGAGATTCTGGTCCAGATTTATCAAATGCAGAAACCTCTCCATTAAAATCTGTTTTCGGGGAGCGACACCAGCGCGCAGGCTTCGAGCTGAGCTGCTGGTGGAACGGCAGCTACACCCAGTTTGAGTGCGCCAGCGCGCAGCTGGCTGCGGGCTGCAGGGACTACATGCTGTCCGAGCTGCATGAGAACATCCCCTATCGGATCTGCCTGCGCAGTCTGGGCCGCTCTGGACCGGATCGCACAGCAGACAAGCCTGACTGTGTGGAGTTCACGCTGCCGTCGTCCGGAATGCAGGACATTGTGATTGCCATGACGGCGGTAGGGGGCGCTATCTGCGTGATGTTGGTGATCATTTGTCTGCTGGTGGCCTACATCACAGAAAACATTATGAGCCCCGCTACGCAGCACACCTACTCCTACCGCACACATTCACGTCACTGATGGAATAAGGACACAAACATAGTCACAAATGTATTTATTTGTATGTTTACGACACAGGTGCTTCTCAATAAATTAGAAACTCAAATTTAAAAAGGGAAAACATTCTTGGTGATCATGACGCACGGCAAATAAAAAGTCCAATAATGTATCTAAGAATACACATGGAAAGTTTAGTGGAAGGGAAAACTGTTAATATTTCCCAAGCAAGTTGAAGGAATTGTAATCTCAGTTTATTCAAGATAAATTAATAAATAAATACCAAATCACATACATTGGGCCTCCTCTGAAACAGAGGCAACGTCAGAAAAGGCTGGTTCTTAGTGCCCAACGTTTTTTCTTTTAATTTCTAAATAAATATTAAACGTTATTTGGGAGTCAAGTCGCTCTAATTCAAGCTGCGTGAGATCCAGCCTAGCTCCCACCGTTACATTCAAGCAGCCATTTTGGAGAACGTTACACTGAACAAAAAATAATGCAACCTTTTTTGGCATTTACTTAATCATAATTTGTTACTTTAACACAACTGTTTTATGTCCTACCCTGCTAACATGAAATAATTGTGTTAAGTAACTGAATATGAATAAGTAAATGCCAAAAAACGGTTGCATTATAAATCGATTTTCCAGCAGGACAGAGCTTCTTCCTGTGCTGCCAAAAAACTAAAAACTCCAGGTGTAATGGCCATGGTATCGCTGTGACGGATCAGGCCGCTTGCCTGATGTACAGATGTAAAGGAAGGTTATAAGAAACACAGGAGCAAGCTATGAATATATCCAGATCGCCTCTATTCACGGAGAAAAGAAAAAGGAGTCATTAACAATTGTGTAGTACATGGAAATACTTTTATGTTGAGAATTGAAACTCCCAATTTTTGGTTTTATCTAACGATAACATTTTCATTCGCTGTAAGCCTTCATCACCAATGTAAACAGACCTAATATTTGATCGCCCTATATGTAAAGATTCCATACATGAGCTTGAATTATAAAAATGAATCAGTAATAACTATATGTTTATCCTTTTATGACCAAATTGAAGCACAATCTGCTGTGGCTTTGCAAATAACATGCCTTTTCAACCTCTGCCAGGGTGCACTGAACCAAAATTATTGATCAACTGTGTTTAGTTCACTGATTTACTGTTATGCCGTCGCTCAAGATTGTTTCTCACCTGCCGTCAGGTGATGTTTCTACAGCAATACAAATAGCCTCAATAAAAGGCTTTGGATATATTAAAAAGAAAAGTATTTTTAGTAAATCTGAGAGGGTGTCAATGTTTTCGGAAAGAAAAAAACAATTTATCTAAGTTTGATTTCTTTTCTCATCTCTGGGTTTTGCTTGTAGGTCTGCATATAGTGTTTGTACAATCTGTAAAGGGCAATAGAAAACACTGTACAATCTCTGAATACTGTGGCAAACATATTTTAGCTAGAACAACTTTTTTGTCCCGCTGACTGCAAATAAAGAACCATGGGGTCCCTTTTAATATCTACCAGCTGTCTTTAGTGTTTTCTTTGTGAATGCAGGTGTATTTGTGTGCTAAAAATATCTGCACACATAAGCTGTGGGATATGAACAAGTTCCAGCAGGACAAGTCCTGGATCTGAAATTTACCCTGAAGTTTCTAGAAAAACTTCTTTCCCAGTTGCTCCTGAAGGATTCTGTATAAATGCAGCTGAATGGTTTTCTTATAACCTGCTATTAGCTGGACAGGAATACAATTGGGGAGACTAATTTCAAATCACACACACTATGTTCAAAAAGATCGGAGGGGTATGGAAGATACATTTACTCCTTAAACTCTTGGTTGCTCTTCTTGAACTATTCCTAATATTGTATTATTGAAATGCATCTGCAAATATGCTTCGGTAGGGGATTCGCATGATCACACTGGTGACAAGACTGAACAGTGTTGGGCACGTTACTCTGAAAAAGTAATTAGTTATAGTTACTTCTCCCAAAAAGTAACTGAGGTACTAACTGAATTACTAACTGAGTTACTCCAAAATAAAAGTAACTAGTTACTAGTAAAAGTAACTATTGTGTTACTTTTGCGTTTCCCACCCCCGTAACCCTCACCACCTAGCCCCCCACCTTCTCGCCGGCTGAATAGAGTGGACGACAAAGACAAGTACCTGCAGAGAGTTTTTTGCATTTATTGCAACTCAACGTAAATTAAATCAGGCGGGAACAGTATCTGACGGGCCTATAAACCCTGTCAGATAGCGTTCCCCTCTGCTTAACATGGGGGAACGGTATCTGATGCGGTGTAAATAT